AGTTTCCCTTTAATATTGCATGAATTACACCAATAGCACGCCTCAGAATTATTTTGTGTAATATAATTTCAACTTAATGATCTCAGCAGTGTGCCTCCAATTTGTGGGGATATTTATCTGGTGATAATATTATACAGTTGAGAATTGCCCGCTATTTCAATTCTCTTAGATCTTAGAGATCGTTATCATGTAAGTGAAATGTATTCCATACAAATAAAATCACAATTTGTTATAAAAATAGATATAATTTATTGTGACAAATAAAATAACAATAATATTAGGCAGCATGCATGATAATAACCAGTGAATATTTAGTATAACATAAGTATGTAATACAATGGCAATATTAAAACAATCCAATGGCTAACAGCATCAACTGTCAAGACTTACAAGATTTATGAGGGTACTTCACAGGCACAGAAAGCTAAACTTCCAGCGAAAAGCCATAAAACCTTGACTAACAGTTAGATCAACTGAGTAACCCTTTCAATGCTGGCTAGATCCTCCTAGGCATATAATATCATATTCTCATGTAATTTTCAATTAAAATAACATTCAGTCCAGCTCATTAATCGTTTCCTGGAACCATCTTGTAGCGGAGCGGCAATATTAAATCCCACAATCTCCGCTGGTTAAGAAGGTAATCCACAGTCAAGCGCTGAAAAGCAAGGCAATATCCCAAATCCCCCAGTAAACGGACGAAACACAGTTCTGGGAGTCAACTGAGGTCTTTGTTCACATGCTCCAGTATTTATACAATTCCCCATGCAAGGGGTTTCCTGAGTCACATCCCAGGGGTATTACAGGAGTGGACTACATGGGAAACTTAATGTACAGAGCATTTCTCCCATCAGGCACTGCTGCACGAGAGGGATCCTCCCACTGGTATGTACCGTTAAGTGGATTATCCCTCCGTGCAGCAGAACTGGCATTTCACATTTAAATACATAACTTTTACACTGTTCAGTTTATTTAAACGAATGGACGTTCGGTAGATAGCTGGGGTCTGAGCGCACATTTCGTGAGAATACCGCTCAGATCCCAGCTAAAATAACCGAACGCCGCACGAAAAACATATTCATCCAAAACATACATTCAAAAGACCGATTGGCATACGGGGAGTAAATCAAGTCCATCAAGTTCAGCCTTCCTCACAAATGTTGCTGTTGATCCAAAAGAAGGCAAAAACCCTGGTCTGAAGCACTTCCAATTTTGCCACAAACTAGGAAAAAATTCCTTCTTGACCCCAAAATAGCAGTCAGATGTCTCCTTGGATCAAGCAGCTATTACCCCACTAATTAGAAATTATATCCCTGTATGTTATGTTTTTGTAAGTATTTATCCAATTTCAGTTTAAACATCTGTATGGACTCTGACAAAACCACCTCTTCAGGCAGAGAATTCCATATACTTATTGTTCTTACTGTAAAAAAACCTTTTCTTTGCCTTAGATGAAATCTCCTTTCTTCCAGCCTAAATGTGTGACCTCGTGTCCTATGTATAACCCTGTTTATGAATAGATTTCCAGATAATGGTTTGTACTGGCCCCGAATATATTTGTATAAAGTTATCATATCCCCTCTCAGGCGCCGTTTTTCCAAACTAAACAGATTTAATTTTTTTAACATTTCTTCATAACTAAAATGCTCCATAAACCCTCTTTCCTGCACCAAGACTTTAGCCACGCATTGACCTCTCTAATCTCCCGCTGCCTTTCTGCTGTAGCGTGCGGCACAGGTAATATTTCTGAAAAAATTACCTTGGAGGTCCTTTTCTTAAGCTTACTTCCTAGTTCCCTGAACTCATTCTTTAGGACCTTCCATTTTCCTCTGACTTGTTGCAATCGGTTAACAAGCGCCACACGTCTCTTAGTGTGTGGGCTATTGCAGGATAGTTTATTCGGTTCACGAACAGCCCGCAAAGGCGCTGTTCGTGAAACAAAAGGAAATACAGCTATCTGCTTTCGGCAGATAGCCCATAGAGGCAATGCAATCATACGGTTTACAGTACATTACAACCAGGTACAAATAACATTATAAGAACTATACAGGCAACCCTTAAAGCCATAGTCTCTCGGTATTGTCCCAGTGGCTAGGTTTGCCACACATCCAATAAGAATAATCTACCAGATTTTTTCAAAAGCCGAATTTAACTCTACATAGAAACATAGAATGTGATGGCAGATAAGAACCATTCGGCCCATCTAGTCTGACCAATTTTCTAAATACTTTCATTAGTCCCTCTACCTAAGATATATGATCTTATTTCAGAGCAAATCAATACACATGGATAAAAACAGCGGTATGCTAACACGTGGTAAGATACCAGTACTATGTAATTATCTGACTCCACCTGCAGAATGGAGTGTTATAACTACATATTCTTTAGTTAACTAAGATTTCGCAATTATTGAAATCTGACTGTGATTTATCCAGTCATATATCATGCTATTAGTAAATTTTTAATTAATTTAAATTAAATAAAACCCGCATAATTACCAGTTATATAGATGTTCTCATCAGATGAGTAGGTAGTCCCAGGAACTTGAATGCGAGTATGATTGGTTGTATGGAGGTGTGTAAGTAATAGAGAAAAGTGATGTTGGTTAGAAAGTATTAGTAAAATTCTAAGTATCAAGGAGTGTTTCTTGAGTTGTGTCCAAGAGAGTTTGAGAGTTGAGTGTTAGTCCCAGAGTGTCCTGAATATCTGTCCTGGATCTCTCTGAATGTCCAAATCTGAATGCCCAAACTACCTTCTCTCTTCCCTTTTGTTATGGTTACCTCCAGGCTAGCTGGAAGCTGGACCACTTGGATGGTCTGGATCCCAAAGGCAGAGAAAGAGGAGAGCCACTTCGGTAGTTATTCCATACGAATCCTGTAAATGTAGAGCAATCCCACTAGCTATCATACAGCTAGCTATCATACATCCCTTTCCCCCACAAAGGGAGTCGAGGCTGCGATTTGAAGGTCAAGCAAGAACTGGCTTAATTGACACACAGGGGACCGTATTTATGCAAAATCTCAGGTCCATGGACAGCCCCCTCTGTCTCGAAGCAGTTGGTTAAGCTGCTCCCTCTCTGTTATACTAAGTCGATCCCCACCTTGACCTGGGTTATTATATCTGAGTGGGGCCCTCGTTCTAGTAGGTCGGGGATTGGTAGGCTGTCTGGATCTTCATGGGGTGGGCAGCAGATGGCTGTCACATTTTCCAGTCACTCAAAGTATTCCTTGAGCATGTTCACGTGAAACGTTTTCCTAAGGTTGTTATCGTGGCAACTAGCGATAACATAGGTGGTGTCTCCTTTTTTCTCTACCACCTGGTATGGCCTCTGCCAGGAGGCTTGGAGTTTATCGGTTTTAACTGGTTTGAGCACCAGTACTTTTTGTCCCAAGACAAAAGTCCTTTTCCGTGCTCCCAGATCGTACCATAATTTTTGTCTCTTCTGGGCCGACTGGAGGTTAGCTTGCATGGATTTGGCTAATTGCTCCATTCGGTCCCTGAGTTCCAATACATATAGTAAGATTGGGACACCGTCTGTCTCAGTCTCTCCCACCCAGTGCTTTCAGATCAGGTTTAGGGGTCCCCGTACCTTGCAACCATAGAGCAGCTCGAAGGGAGAGAATCCTGTCGTTTCCAGGGGCACCTCCCGATAAGCAAACAGGAGGTGGGGTAGGCAGCGTTCCCAGTCTCTATATTCTTGGGTGAACGCTTTTAGCATTTGTTTAAGGGTCCCGTTGAACCTTTCGCAAAGTCCGTTTGTCTGAGGGTGGTAGGGGGAGCTTGGAATCGACTTAATCTTAAAGACCTGCCAGAGTTGCTGCGTTAACTCAGCTGTAAATTGTGTACCTTGATCTGACAGGATTTCTTTGGGGAATCCTACTCGTGAGAACACCTGTACTAGTGCATTGGCTACCGTATCTGCTTGAATGTTAGATAGGGCCACGGCTTCTGGGTACCTGGTAGCGTAGTCTACTATGGTAAGAATGTAGCACAGTGGCCCCACTAAGTCTATGGCCACCCTGCTAAATGGCTCCTCTACAATGGGCATATTCACCAGGTTTGCCTTAGGATGGTCGCCTCTCCTTCCTACTCACTGACACACATCACATGTGTTGCAATAGGTCCTAACATCAGCGTGTACCCCTGGCCAGAAAAAGGTGTGAGTAATGCGGTGTAGGGTAACCGCATGGCCAAATGGCCAGCTAAGGCTATGTCATGTCCTATTTTTAATATTTCTTGCTGGTATTTGTGGGGTACTACCAGCTGTCGTCTGTGTTGTCCCCGTTTATCATTTAGCCGATACAGCTTTCCCTTCTCCCATAAAAATGTTTTGTTATCTAGTCCAACCCCTCCCGTCACGGCCTGTTCTCTGTGTTTTTGTAAAGTTGGGTCGGTCTTAGACTAAGTCTCGAATGTGGTGGGAGTGTCCCAGGGTACGTGACCTAAGGGATCAGTCCCAGTCGGGGTGAGTCTTACCTGTGTCTCCCGCACTGGTGAGGGTTCCCGCTGCATCTGTGCTTATGCCCGAGTCGTCACAGGATTCGCCTCTTTGTTATAGACTGGAGCATCGGCAGAAGTCATAGGACCCAAATCGTTACCCAGTAACACTTCAGCAGGCAAATGGTCCATTATGCCTACATTCACAGTCCCTTTTCCCACTCCCCAATCAAGATGTACTTTGGCGGGAGGAATTTTGTATACATCCCCCCCCCCCGCCACTAACTGCCACAGTCTGTCCCGATCTCTTGTGTTCCGGAACCAAATGGCTCTGGACTAGTGTAATCGTAGCACTGGTGTCCCTTAGTCCCTCGGTAGAGTGACCCTCTAGCCATACTTTTTGCCGATGATGCTGGCGATTATCCGAAGCGGCATATACAAGGTCGGCTTCATGTAGTGATCCCAGGTATTCCTCCATAGGGCTCTCTTGGTTAACGCAGAGGGCCCAGGCAGGGGCGAGATGGCCCGGCAGAGGAGTTGTAATTCCTAGATGTCTGATGGGAGTTTAGAGGACAGCTTGACATGAGGTTGTACGGTTGTTTGCATCGAAAGCACATTGGTCGGGGCCGTTCAGTGGGGTTGTTACTGGGTGGTCCTGAGTACCGTATGGGCCCTGCGGGTACTGGAACTCTGAATTCGGTGTGGGACGTCGTTCGGTAACTGTCCCTATGTTCGGTCCGTGCCGTTGTTCGGTAATTTGTGGATTAGTGCAAACGGGACTCATGATGCTCGTCGGCCAACTTGGCTGCTTCTTCTAAGGTAGCGGGTCGTCTGTCTCGCAGCCATTCCTTTCCCTGTTGCTCGATGCCATTATATAAGTGCTCCAGCAGAAATAATTGTAATATTTCCTCAGCGGTCACGGCTTTACTCCCGTTCATTCAGTAGTTCGCTGAGCCCATTCCATGTGAGTGTCATTAGGTTTCTTTTTAGTGTTTAAAAATTGTCGTCGATACGTGTCCGGTGGTACCGCGTACTGTCGTAGGAGTGTGTCTTTGACTAGAGTGTACTGAGTCACCTCCTCAGCACTCAAGGTCCGGAATGCCTCTAGTGCTCGCTCGGATGGTTTTCCAGACAATATCGTGGGCCACTCTTTGTCGGGAATCTGATGTAGTGCACATTGTCGTTCAAAGTCTGCCAAATATTCATCAATCCCTGTGTCGTTCTCCTGGAAGGGTCTAAAAGCCGCATAGGGTATCTTTGGCCTCCCGGGGTTCTCTGCAGGACTTACGGTTAAGGCTGAGCTCGTGGGCTCTAGCTTTCTGTATGTCCTCATCTGCCTCTGCCATCAGCTGCTGTACTAGTTCTTTAGAGGGTTTCGGCCCATTAAGCCTCTCCTGAACAATCCTGGTCTTTTCGTCACCCGTCATTGTTAGGGCTTCTGCCATAGTGAAACTCTGATCCAGTTCAGTCAGCTCTGCGATCAGCTCCCTCCTCGGCCGGTTACTCGCGTTCCCACCTCGGCTTTTGAGTAAATCCTTTAAGGTAGTGCGTTTCAATTTGTCATAGGCGCTCTCCATCCGTTCAATATCTCTCCTAGGAAGTCCAGAACGATCCCGCCGCTACCACCAAATGTTACGGTTACCTCCAGGCTAGCTGGAAGCTGGACCGCTTGGATTGTCTGGATCCCAAAGGCAGAGAAAGAGGATAGCCACTTCGGTAGTTATTCCATAAGAATCCTGTAAATGTAGAGCAATCACACTAGCTATCATACAGCTAGGCTACCCTTTTCCACACAAAACGAGTCGAGGCTGTGATTTGAAGGTCAAGCAAGAAATGGCTTTAATGACACATAGGGGACCGTATTTATGCAAAATCTCTGGAACTCTGGACCCCTCTGGACCTGATGGGATACAGGGACAATACAAGTGGGGAACTGTGAAGAAACCCCCTGTTCCCTATGTTATTTACCCATTGATTCCCCTTTTTATCTCCATTACTGCCTATTGCATTTGGTAGATGGTACTACCGAACAAAGACCACCCCACTGGCTCATTAAATATCAAAGTTTGGGTGAAATTGCTACACCTCTGTATGTGCGGCCAGCGTTCGTCAGTCAAACGCCACGTGGCAGAGAAAAACCGCGGCCATCTTTGTTCATGCGAACAAAGGCAGCGGGACCTGGTCGTCGAGTGCATGGAACTGAAAACGAACACTCGACTTCCCGAACACCGGTCTCAAACAGACGAACGCTGGAACTCCATTTACGAATCGCTAGAAGAGCGCTTTGGTGTATTCGACAGAGGGGCACGAACGCTGCTGAGAGCCAGAGGGATCCATTCGGTACTTTATTTGTTTTTATGCTTTTTCGAAAGTGACCGGCAAAACCCACCAAATTCATGGAACTGTTTTGGGCATACACCACAGGGTGAGCCGGTCACAAGAGACTTCCATAATTTTCGCGAACCCCTGAACCGATCTGGGTGAAATTCGGATATGTTGGTCACCCAGATCAGGGCTATCAGGGGACATATAATTTATGGGGATACTTCCAGTATAAAGGGGTGTTCTAGATATTGGGGAAAAAGGTGATTTTTCATCCCGGAGATAATTAAGTTACTATTTTATCATACTGAATTATCTCCTGGGCTAGGGGAGGGAATTGTAGGTGTGTGTTAAAGTTTTACTGCCTGTGATTGGTTAATGTTTGTCCCTCCCTGAGGGCTGTCCCCTTGCATGGGGACTTGCATAAAAGCTGTGTGTACCCATTAAAGGACAGTTCATTTTGTACTATTCTTCTTGACTTCGGCTGATATTTGGGGATTCGTGTGTTTCACTAAGAGAATCATCTGGTGAAGCTGTGGGAATTACTATTGGATTCGTCTACCCTATCTACCGAACAGGGAGCTATAATCACTGAGGCTCTGGCAGTTCGGGAGGAAACTACCGAATAAGGTTTAAATATACTTGGTTTCCTTACATTTTTTAATATGTTGTTCCTCTGAATGGATTGATTGTGAATATGTAATTTTATGTGAATGTGATGTATGGTTTTAAAGTTATGAAAGTTGGGTAGAAAGTATGTTTTAACTGTATGTGTAATTGAGTTTCCTCTCAGGAAAAGGGGAGGGAATATGTGGGATGTAACTGATATGTGATTGGTTGTTTTATACCTCCCTGTGGGCGGTCCTGTATGTGAAAGGCTGTAATAAAAACCAGGCTGGGTGTGCCAGCACAAGAGTTCCTGTTTTAACCCTCAAAGTGAAGTGTTGTCTCATTATTGAGGGAAGGATTAATTGTATGCTGTTCCAGTTTGACTGCTAGGAGAGTAAACCTATTCATATGGTTCCTATTCAACTGTCTACAGCATTCATATGCTTGGGAGAATTTATTTGTTTCTCCGGTTCGGTGATTGTGGTGTCTGCCAGAGTGCTTGGAGTCCTCAGGAAGCGCTAGGAGCATCCTTCAACGGAGGTACCCAGTCGGGGTGCCAGGTGATCCGTTACAAGTGCTCACAGATCATTTTTCCAGTTCTGTCTGTCGGGACAACCCGTCGGCATTACCATTTTGTTTCCCCGGGCGGTACTGGATGGTGAAATCAAAGGGCTGCAGCGCCAAGCTCCATCTCAGCAGTCTAGCATTGTCCCCTGACACCCAGTTTAGCCACACCGACGGGTTGTGATCTGTGAGCAAGGCAAATTGTTG